TATTAATATTTACCTTTGATAGTAGTTAAAAAAATCATTCATTTGCACATTATGATTAGTAGCAAATAATTTAATAAGTTGAAATCCTTGTTCCATTTTGTCAGCTGGCAAAAGTGGTAAGCACATTAACATTTTAAGGCATTTTAATGCATGATCATTACTATTTATAGTATGTAGATGGTTCATAGCTTTCATTTTTTTCCAAACAGCCTACACATAATAAAGTAAAATATAAGCAAAGAAGATATTTGAAAAAATATATAGGTACTGCCACTGAACTGTAAACACAATGTAACTTACATTGCAATTGTCACACCCACATAGTGGAATCACTCATTTCATGAACTGGATATCCAGATAGTGAAATTTGTTGAAAATACATTACATGGACATATATTTCATGAAATGTACAATACCTATATTGTGTACTTTGTGTAATTATTGTAAAACAAATTTATTTTGTTATTTAGCAATAAATTATATTATACTATGATAATAAACTATACTTTTTTTTATTATTGTTATATGATATATTGGTCATTGGAACATACTTCGTAACGCACTTCGTAATTTCACATTATATACATGGATTGTCCTAATATGAAATTATTTTATTTTATAAAAAAAGTATTTGTAACACACCAAGGGACTAATGGGACAAATAAGCGTTTCATATTTAGAGTTCAGTGAATACTCCTCAATACCAATTAGGTAGGTACTTAGGTTAGGTAAAAAATTGTTTTACTATTATTAGTAAAGATACAAAATACAAATATATTATAATATGGGGTCAAGTGGGGTAAATGGAAATTGGAGTAAAAGGAAAAAAATATTATTTAAAATTAATTAATACTGATTATGGAATTTGGTACCATGGAGAATACCTATTTATTTGATTAGTTAAATTGTATTTTATGTAATTCATACAAATTTTAATTTACCCCAGGCATAAGACATTGTCAATTATACTTTTAATTTCATTTTCCCCACACAGTATTTGGGGCAAATGGAAATTTGTAGGTTTTGAACATATGAAATAAAATAATGATTGCTGCAACATAACTATTTAATTTACCCATTATGTGAGTTCAGTACAACACTTGCAGTTGGAAATAGTTATTTTCATTTACTTCAAAAGTATGGGGCAAATGTAAATTTTTTATATAATTTAGAATAATTTTTTTATCTTAAAGTAATCAACTATTTTTACTTTTGATTGAAATGTTAGACGCATTTGTGTATGGTAAAATAGTTTTTATTTTGACCAAAAATAAAAAATGAAAATTTAATTTCCGTTTGCCCACTTGACCTATAAGATAATAATATATTCCTTACCTGGTTGTGGTGAAACCAGCATCCCACAACCCTTGTATTTTCAGTACCTAGAGACAATAATGTATCTCTTAATGCAATTTCATAATCAGTTATGATTGTTTCCGGTACAAGTTGTGGAAACAAATTAGTCTTCATAAAACTAATAACGCATTGGTACGAATTTCTGGATTTGGCTTCCATTAAGGCATATGCTATAGGAATAGACTAAAAAACATAAATTTAATAGCTTAATAACATAACAATTTTTAAAGTAAATAATAAGGTTAAATTAAAGAAAATAACTTACAAAATTTCCAATCATACAATGGATGCTAAGTAGCTGATTACCCATGTTCACCGGTACAACTTTAAAGGTAGCATCTGCATGGACCTCGACTATATTATTTTCCAATACTACCTGTATGAGCTGCCGGCAGGCTAATATTAAGTTTTGTTTTCCTAGTCATAAATTAATAATAAATATTAAATGTTATTTTAATTGAAGAATTCAAATTCATTTTTTTATAGGTTAATAGAATAAAAGTCTGTATGTCCCCCCAATTATCCAACATTAAACCAATTTTACTAATTTTTGTTGCATTTTTTATGGCTTATTTTAAGCAACTCATTTGACATATTACAGTAAATAAAAAAATTAATATTTTATATAGGTTTACTCATTTAAAATTGAAAATGTATAAAAGTCTATAGTACTGATATAGTGATATAGATGTACTAATAAAACATTTTTTAATTTAATATAGACATAATTACCATCACTATCGGTGACACAGCCCTGAAATATATCTGAATTGCAGCACTGAAACCTGTGTAGTTCGCCATTTTCAAATTTGTTGGCCAACTCTTGCAGTGACTGCGGAAGACTTGGTAACGAATTCCTTCTAAAGGTACGCATGGTGCTGTCAGCAGTTGGCCATGGATACAATGCAGCAGCAATAGGGTGTCTGTAACAGCACAAAATTATGATTAGATAAAATGTATAGGTTAGGTATGGATGGTACAGTACCTAAGGCTGTTACATTCATATTTATTTTGATTACCTACCTTTCAGATTCATCATCGTATATTGATCTTAAAGAAATATTTTCGTTCATAGCCCGTTCCTTCAATTTATTTCTGAATATTTTTACCAAGTTCCGATTATCATTATTGGATCTTCCATGGGTAGTATGTGCTTTTAATTGCACAATTGAACCATCCACATTCTTCTTTGCTGTGCCTGGGCAAAAGAAATTGTTGGATTTGGCACATTTATAATAACTGCAAATACCAAATAATTTGATTAGACAAAATATATTAAATACAACAAACTTAATAGGTCGTTAACACAGTGGCTTTTTTATTTTAAGTCAGTGGAATACCTACTGGCTACTGCAGTAGGTACTAATAAGATTATGTAACTAATTAATTTTGGTTTTACGAATACAATTTGTAAAATAATAGGTATGTATTAAAATTAAAATGTATTTTACATACTAAAATTGTTTACTTACGTAATTCCTTTAC